GGATGGTGTCAAGCAGCTGAGAGACCAGGAGATCAGAGCCAGCTTAACAAAGCACTTTGGCTTTCTGGACAGTGCTCTTGATGAGGAGGACATGGTCTTCTGCAAGACCCCCGAGTATGACACTGTCTTTGAAGACAGCTGCAGTGAGAGTGGCTCCCCTGTGGAGGAGGAGGAGGAGGAGGAGGGGGAAGAGGAGGAGGAGGAGGAGGAGGAGGAGGAGCATGGCAACACCAAGCTGTGCCTGCGGAGAAATCCCCTTTCCAGGACCAGTTTGCATTCCTGTTCCCGGAGCAGGTCCAGCTCGGGCTCTTCGTGCTGCCAGTCGCGGTCACCTGCCAGCAGACGCACCTTCAGGTACTGAGGGTGCTGGGAGGGCACTGGGCACCATTCTTGCCCCCTGTGTTTTTGCCGTGGTGCAGGGCAGCTCCAGTCATAGAATCATAGAGCCATCAGGGTTGGAGGAGACCTCTAAGATCATCGAGTCCAACCATTAACCTGTCACTGCTGGAACCAGATCTTCCAGCATCAGATCCAGATGCCTCATAAACACCTCCAGGGATGGTGACTCCACCACCTCCCTGGGCAATCTAAGTCCTCTCTGCTCTGCTGGCCCAAGTAGTAAAGATGATAATTAATGAAAATAATTGGTTCTACTTCAGCCACTGCTGCAAACATCAGCCATGGCCAGAGGAAGCAACGGTGGGGTGAAGCAGGGAGTTTCCATGGCTGACAGGACATGGGCAGGGACCTGAGCCAGGCCTGGGAAGGCTGAGCACCAGTTGGGAACACCCACTGGCATCTGTCAGAAAGAACTTCCCAGTGTCCTTTCCAGTGTTTCCAGCCCCTGTCTCTCCTGGGCTGCCAGCACTCTGGAGTGCCCACCCGCTGCTGCAGCCACCACGAGCCTCAGCTTCTCACTGGTGTTTGAAGCTTTCCCCCCAGCTCCCTCCACCCCCGAGCTGACTCCTCTCCCTCCTTCCCAGGTGTGAGAACGGCGAGCAGTGTCGGGGCGGGCAGCGGGGTCAGCTGGAGAAGAGACAGGAGAAAGCCATCGTAAGTGAGCAGGGACCCCGTGCTGGGGCAATCCCCAGCCCGCAGCTCATCTCCCGCTCCAGAAACGCAGCAGGGGAGCCCATTAGCCCTGGCTTCAGCATCCCTTGGTGCCAGGCCAGTGTCAAACCAGGACATGGGGGTGGAGGGGGGAGAGAAAAACCCAACGTGGAGCGGAA